TTGCAAAATTTTGAAATAGAATCACTAGTTATTTATAATGAAATATAGATCATAGCAAAAATGTTACAAATTCGGCGTAATAAAACGTATACGTTCCGTACGATCCAGCTAACCGAAGTCCAGTCCATTCCATCTATGTACGGTTCCGGATTTTCCAAAATTAAAAAAACACTCAAAATTCGGGCATTTATAAGAGGAAAACAAGTTTTAAAAGTTGGGCATGTTTTTACTATACATTAAGATTATCCATGGCCTTTCATAAGGTAGAAAATTCAAAACGTTTTACTGGGTTGCCTGTGGCAGATTAGTCGTAAAATGCCTTTTTTGTAGTCTCAGTTCTCTCGAAATGTGCATTCTTGCGCAAGAGTACCCATATATGGATTTGAATGACGTGTTCAGAAGTGTTTGAAGTAATATAATTGAGCAGTAAAAGAAGATTCCTAGGATTGTAATTCAGATATTTATTAGTATTAATACAGCTACTCAGTCGGCAGTATTCTGACTTCAATCGCGCGGGTTAGTAGAGCCTAAAGGAAAATACGGCTTTCAGTCTTTAGTTAATCTAGAAACCATATACATAAATATATCGTGAAATACTACGCCGTAATAGAGCTGGTAACTTTGGCCGTGAATACTTTTCGCTAAGTTTTGAATCCTTTTACTAACCGAGTTTCACAGTAAAAACTTCCACATTCCACTTCACTGGTTAAAAGATATACAAAAGCGGTACTTTTTATTAAAATAAAACACATTAAAAATTTGTACACTTTTAAATAAAATATAAAAGAAAAAATAAGTGCTAGCAAGTTCTGAACACGTTTCCACACGTATCCGGAAATTTCATGATCCGCCCTGATACACGCTAGTACCTAGTCCCTTTGACGGATAGTTTTTCTTATTGAGCATGCGCAAAATCGTGTTTACGTCATCGTATTCGAAAATTTGCGGATACGACCGTCCACACGTATCCGTATTCGGAGCATATTCGAAAATTTCCACTCTGGAGACCGTTTTCGAAAATTTCCGGATACGGATACAAAAATTTCTCGACACGTATGAACGTGGCCTAAGTATGGAGGGTTTTCATGTGACGTCAAGCTTTATGACGTCAAGTCGTCATGCATCATACAGATATTAGTAAAACTATGAAGTTTTGTGAATTACGCATATAATTCATGCATTCTCTGGATCATGGACAATCTTCACCAAAATTTACAACTCATTTTTCTGCTCAAACGAAAAAAAATTTTATTTTTTCAATAGAATGACGTAACAGTGAAAAAAATCTCAACTTTTCGATTGCACGTTACGTCATCGCGGCCTCTCAGGGTGCATTTAACAAAAGATTTCTCATTAGCATCCATTGTTAACGGCACCACAATAGCCGCCATGCTTTTGTCTTTTAACTATCTCGGGAATGCTTGCAATTATCAATATAATGACAAATAATAAAGAATGTCATACGCGTAATAATTTTTGTCTCCCCGATTAGTAGGGCACTTGTGCCCGGCTAGAAGAAATAGAGACATTAATAAAGTTATTATTATATTATTATTATAGTAATAATGTTTGATAATCAGATGACACTATTTTTCTGTCCGTCACGCATGCGTGGATCAAGAGATGACGGAAATATCTCAGTCGCAATCACCGTAATAGACATATGATTAATGATATTGGTATGAACCAGAAAAAAAAGCTTTAAAATAAAATTAAAAAAACACGTTTTTATCCCCACAGTTCAATTATTTAATCCTCATTACATTGAAATGGGAATGATCCATGTGTTAAATCATTATTATGTATAGAAAGTTTGCATGAGTAGAGCAACAATATCACATAATTGACAGCCGATTTGTTATAATATTCTATCTTGTCGTAAGACTACTATACTGCGAATTCTCTTGTTATGACTGCTTATTTTGACAGCTTAAAGCTTTAGCCTTTAGGATTTGTATGGTTCTATTTTGGGTAATAATTCATCCCTGAAATATAACAGTTTGAATGGAGGATTTCACAGCACGATTCTTGAATGGTATTGAAGTAAGTTGAAAGAATGATAATAACAATACTTTTTTTTATATCATATCTATTATTTTGCGAGTGAGGTTTGGTGGATTTCGCGTACTCCTTCATAAGCCTATCTATTTTCTCTCCTACAACGTTCGATAAAACTTTGCTGTTAACGATTTGCAAGCAAAAAATCTCTCAATTTATTTGTCGACCAAAAATATTGACTCGGAGATTTCATCCAAGCTGCGCTAATGGTTATTGGCCGATTAGAGTCTTCGGTACGTTGTATTCATACAAATGTATTCATTTATATCCAATAGATTTATGTATACTTTGGTACAAATATTTCCTGTGTTTTCATACTCGTCAGATTATTGCATAATATAGTATAAAATATATAACATATAAAATCATTTAAGGTGTTTAAAATATGTTCAATGTTGAAATCATTCATGTGAATAACATAATACATTCTTTTATTTAACTTTAAATCTTCTGTTTTTAGCTCATAAAAGACTTGTGAGGCACGTTTCGATATCACAGCCGAGGTCCATTACTGCATATTGTCACTTTTTATGAAAAAAAATACTTAAGATTACTTCTGATCGTATCTTTTGCTCTCTTAATGGCGTATTAAGGTCTTAATCGAAAATTGAACTCTATTCAACTAGAATGCTTGCAATATTCATTCGATTATGATAACGATAAATTGATCTAACTATTTTAGTGTATTATTTATATTACACGTGTATTTTTGTTAGTTATTTTGCTATTTCCTTCTCGTATTTTCCGTAATTCCTACCCATGCACGTCACCTTGAATCCGTTCACGCACAATATTTTTCTAGGAACCTCAGTCTTTGGATATTAATTCTTATTGTTTCTTCAATACTTATCATTGTTATTGCAAGTTCGTACTATTTCTGTACATATATTTCTTAATCTAAAAATTTTTCGACTGAAAAGCAACAACGATAACATTCGATAATCTCTTAATACAGGTAATGTTGCTTAATCATTAATATTAGTATTCCTATCGTAAATCAGAACTTTTTTCAAGTCCGACCTTGAATTCATTATTGTCTGGGATTTTATTCACTCGATTTTTTGATGTTTGTTCTTTATCTGTTTGGTTCAGTTTTTCTAGTCTGATTTTTTCCGGCAGTAATTATTTAAAGAATGTTTTTATACTGTAAACATTAATATCTTTTCAACACCAGCTTTATTCAATAACAGCGTATGATAAAAAAGTATTCTTAAGTCATATCCATTAACTAAGCTTAAGTTAGAGTGCAAACAATTAATCCGTGAAACACTAATAACTAAAGAGTAGAAAATAGTGCTAGTTAAACAATAGTGTTACAGCCCAATACGTTACGAAAGGAGGACGAGTGGTACGAAGCCCCAAGAGACTAGGATATTAGTACCCTCCCCGGGTGGGGAATAAATTGTAACCCCTTAAGGAATCGAATTTCGTGCTGACATGTTTGTAATGAAGTCAACGTCTCAAGTAAAGTTGTTGAGTTGTAAAAGGCGTTTTCTGTCGTCAGTTCCACAACAAATAGAAAACAATGGAATTTGCATGACATTGTGCTATTTAGTATTACTAAAGTTTCACGGTTATATTGTTTGCACTCTACACCTTCTTCTGAGTATGTTTAGTATACTCTCTTTGTTACAGTTGTATTAGGTCGTATTCACACAATATTTTTTGATTAGCCTGCTGCTGAAAGAACAATTCAAAGTTTTTTAATACTTTTTAAATATTTTAGCCCCAGAATGTCAAGACAGACGATCAGCTTGAGACCGTTACCAAGGAAGAACAAACTGCTGAAGCACAGAGGGCTTCCTTGGAGGCCAAGGTACGAACTAGACATGACGTAAAAAACCTCCCCATACCTACCCCTGTTAGTAATATGCTGAAGCCCAGAGGGCTTCCTTGGAGGCCAATGTACTATACACAATAGACATGACGTAACAAACCTCCCCATACTTACCCCTGTTAGTAATATTATTTGTACTTTGGTTTAAGGAATGGGAAAAACAAGCTATGGTGGACCCGAGTCACTTAGAAATCCCAGCAGAATTAGCAATGGTTTACTCTCAACTACAAGGTAAGGATATTACTGGGATCCCTATGTAATTTCCCCTACACTTCGTGGAATTAATGTATTTACTTTTCACGCTTGTTGAAGGTTGGCAGGTCCCGTATCACGAGTCTATTGGCCTTGCCAACAGTGATGTCGTTCATTTTACGTGTCCATCGGGCGAACTTCCAAGTGCTATCGATAAATACTTGTTCTCCAAATACGCCCAAGAAAACTTCCAAGTAAGTCTGAGGTTTTCTTTGAGCGGGTTACCTGTGGTTTGGGACAGAGTCCCTCTCAACTCCGGAGCCTTGTCAAGAATGGGTCGTTGAGCATGCGCAATAAGAATGAAAAGGCTCTAGGGTCAAGAATAGAACATTAGAGACCTTTAGCATCAGGTTTACCGCTAACCGCTAGGAATGAGGCTCAGAAACGCCCGCAAACACGGGAAAAAAATGGGCACCAATGAAATTCAATATGACGGCTTTTCCAGCAACTACTTCGTTATGACGCCGTGCTAAATGTCGAACGTTTGTAAACGCCTCTATCGTCTATGTCTCTATCGTTAGAGGAAGTGAGCAAGAGAACGAGGTGTTCTAACATTTGTTGTTCATTTTAAAGGACYATAAGTTTCGCGTCAGCAGAAGTCTCATTAGTAACAGCCTGTTGAAACTCAAGTATTCAGACGCTATTGAGGCAGTTGAGATATTCAAGCTGGTAAGTTTTTCTCCCAGTAAGGGCTGAGTTAATGGGTCAGTATTGTTAAGTGTTTGTTTTCAATAGTATTGACTGAGATAGATGTCGTTTGGTTGTAGATAATGCGCTTTATGGAAGACAGTACGCTGACAGAAGCTCGTCGACTCGTACTGGGAAACTATATTGTACAAAAGGTAACAAAATATGCAATGATGATCGATATGATGTATGAATGTAATGGTGATGGTGATGGTGATGGTGATGGTGATGACGATGGTGATGGTGATGGTGATGGTGATGGTGGTGGTGATGGTGATGGTGATGATGATCATGATGATGGTGATAATGGTGACGTGATGGTGATGATGATGATAGTGACGTGATGATGATAGTGATGTTGATGATGATATTGATGTTGATTATGATACACCATGATAATGATGTTAATGATGTGTAAAGACACAGGGATCACGGTGGTCATAATGAATACTCAGTATTTTTAACTATTTCTTGCTGTTCGGTTAGGGAATATTCAATCCTCACTTGCGGGACGAGATCTTCTGTCAGCTTTGTAACCAAACATGGGGTAATCCAGTCGAAGCCCAGTGTGACAAGGCCTGGTTACTGTTAACTCTGTGTCTCTGCTGCTTCAGACCTTCTGACAGTCTGTACAACTATCTGCTCAAGTAAGTCCTCTCTACTAACAACAGCATTAGAGGTATTCGATATACTTACGTAGCCGTGCACAAGCCGTACCGTGTCTTAACCTAGCCGTTTTGGTTGGATAAATTAGAGGAAGCCATTTCAATGTTACGTCATGTCGTACCATGTACGTGCTATAAGTCAATGCAGTACGTTTCCCACTCATACGATAACCATTCTTATGGAAAGCCATTTCAATGTTATGGCATGGCGTACCATGTACGTGCTGTAAGTCAGTACCGCACGCTTACCACTCATGCGATAACCATTCTTATGGGAAGCCATTTCAACGTTACGGCATGTCGTACAGTGTACATGCTTTAACCGTACGTTTCCCACCCACACGATAACAATTCTTATGGGAAGCCATTTCAATGTTACGGCATGTCGTACCATGTACGTGTTGTAAGTCAGCACCGTACGCTTATTAATCATACGATAACAATTCTTATGGTAAGCCATTTCACTGTTACGGCATGTCGTGCTGCAAGTCCATTCAGTACGTTTCCCATTCATACGATAACCGCTCTCACAGTATCACTGATCTTCTATGATGAATCTATTGAAGGTTCTGTTCTGATCAAGCATATAACGGCTACAAAGAATTTTGTCAGCATAAACTTTTATGTTGGAAAGGAAGAAATCGACCAATACCCCGTGCCCTCCCCCCTTCAGCGTTAGAATGGGAGGCAGCTAAGAAGAAAGCTTCCATAGCCGTAAAGTGTGAGCTTGTGGACGGTAAGTGATGATGTCTACACTTATTTCAATAAAGTTAGTCAACAAAAACCTAGAAAGCTGAGATCACTGAGCATCATGGGAAACTTTTCATATCAAAAAGGCATATATATACAAAGCTTTATTAATACAAACTGCAGCTCGATGATGCTCAGAAGAGGTGAGACTGTAACTTGTAAAAGATTCGCAAGTCCATGAACAGTTATCAAGCGGTTGATCGTGTAAAATGAATCTACCCATAATCCTGGTCGGCCTCAGCTTTATAGCTTTTCAGGTGACTAACTTTATTGAAATAAGTGTATACACTGAATCAAAATATGACGACCAATTTGAAGAACTATTGTTCTGCTCCAAATAGCGACTGGCTAGCCTCTCATACATAAAACGCTTTTATGTTTCCACGTAAACAAGAGGCTGATCAGTCACTTGTCAATGCAGAACAATAGTTATTTGAATTGGTCGCCATATTTCGATTTGATGTATTAATGTAAAGTTAAACCAAGGATATGTGGGTGTACTGAGTCCTTTGTAAACGATACTGGTGCACGCTTGTACAGGTGCTGACACACGGTGCAACTTTGCACGCAACATTGCAAGCAACAAATTTGAATCGGGGTGACACACATTGCAATAAAATCATGCAACATCGCTTGTGTCAGCCTGATATGTTAAGATGTATGGTCAGAAGATATAAATTTGGTGCAAGCTGATTGGCTGGAAATTTCAAAATGTTGCAGGTAATGTTGCAGCCATGTTCACATGATGAAATTTGTTGCGCGCAATGTTGCAAGATTCAACTTCAGATTTGTTGTATGCAACACGTTAAGGGTAAACACACGGTGCAACAGTCCGGTTTCGTGCAATGTTGCATGCAATGTTGCACCGTGTGTCAGCACCTTACCTCTCTCTCTCCATCGTTAGCGTTGTGTTCCGATTCAAAGGAGTCAAAGTTAAAGCAACAAGAATATGACGATTAGAATATTGTATGTTTGATACTTGTCTTTGTTCCTCTTGTCCAGTCCATAATCTACATTTTCTTGTTCATTTTCTATTGAAGGAGAAAAGCGAATGGTTGAAGTGAAGTCTTGCACAACGGGGGAACAGCTTGCGACTACTCTATTGAAAGACAGGTATGTTGTTGTCAAATCTTGCCTAAAACCTCTGGGGTCTCAGGTTTGATTCCTGGACTCGGCATTACATGTGAGTAGAGTTTGTTAGGTCTCTCCCGTCATTCGAGGTTTTTTAATTGATATTAGTAATCGTTATTTATCATTATTTATTCATATTTTATTATTATTTTTTTTCCATATTTTATTTTGATTATTAGTTATTAGTTATTATTTTAGTATATTAATCTGTTG